GTAATATATATATATATATATATATATATATAATCAGTTATGATTCCGCTAATTCTCTTTGTCTTTAGATATAAGTAGGAAATAAAAAAGAAGAAAGATCTGTTACTGGGATATTTCCAAAAATAATAATGAGCAAAATTAAAATATGATGCTAAACCTAATGTAGTTCAGTTTTTTGGCCTCACGACAAAATTATATTGTTGGCTTCAACAAGAACTGCAGGGAATAATTGCCCATAGTGATCAAAATTAATTATATTAAATCGCAATCGTGAATTCGATTTTATTGATCGTGCTCTTTATAATAGATTAAATTGTCCTTTAGAAGACAACGAAAAAATTCCAATACTTCATCATTTTAACGCGTAACGTACTTGTGTTGCTTGAAGTATAACTGACAGAAAAACGTTTTAGATTTGTTTCTGAATTTCTGCGGAAAGCTATACAAAGGGCTATATGCGCATAGCCATCCTTAATTTTGAACTGACAGACCAGAAGGATGGCAGCTAGTCAACAGCACTCATCGTCAATTATTTATCTTTGTTTTATTTGCTTGTTGGGCTTTGCGTAAAGCCACTCGATGGCTATCTACTTGCATTAGCCATCCGTAATTTTGGAGTGACAGGCCAAAGGGAATGCAGCTAGACAACACCGCCAACTCTTGTGCTACTTACTATACTATACTTCAATAGTGGAGTTCAACGTCATAGGACAACGTCCCCACGACATGTTCATTAGGATTACAGTGGTAACAGTAGACTGGAAGAAGTACATAGCAATACTATTCCGCTTATCCACGGGAAACGTATTTCTTGAAACTAGCTAATAGCTAAAAAACGAACACTAAAATTGTCACTTCACAGTTTGGTTGAAGAGCTCTAAAGCTGTATATGCACATAAAAAACTAGATATACCATTCGAGAAACAATAAAGAAGAGGCAGTAGTAGATATTTCAGCCCTAATCACAAGACCCAATTATTTATTTAACCAAAGAGTAAATTTAATTTTGAAAGTGCTAAGCGCCTTTTTATGGCAATGGGATGCGAACCATAAATATTAGGATCCATAGTACGGAGCACGCCTGGTCCGAGAACTTGTATACATATTTATATATATAAGCATGATAAATTAGAAGTCTAAATTATGGGTTACAAATTGTAACACATTCTAAAAATTGAATACAAAGTATGTCAGTTCTGGTAAAGAAGTAAAGAAACGTAGCATGCATGTTAAATTTCTTTGAAATTAAAATTCATCTATGAATTACAAAATCAGCCAATGAATATACATTGCTTTCCAGACGTAAGTTGACGAATAATATTTTTCATTCATTTGCGCAAAAAGAAGATAGTTATATATAAAGCATGTCGGACTGAGTGTTCAATGAAAGGTAAATGTTGACTGAAATGGCTTCCATGTTATGTGCTTCATATAAAGCCCACCAGTGGCTCAGCAGTAAGTCTGAAGGCTTGTAATGCTAAAAACCGGGTTTTAAAACTCATGGTGGGCACAGCACATATAGCACATTGTGTAACTTTGCGCTTAACAACTAACAAACAAAAGCTTCATATAAAATAAGCATAATCTGCAATAAAAGCAGTGTAATAGAAAGGTCAGTACAATATTTAAATAATTGATTTATTTTTATAATATTCAGATCAATGTCTTTTTAACATACACTCACTCAAATATAAAGGGATAGGTACTTTATATTAAAACTATTTTGAATATGTAAATCACGTGACAACCACAACTGATATAAAGCTGCAGTGGAACGGTATGTATCAGAAGTACATTTTGACACTGTTTGGCGTTTCACAGGTGGTATGCTGTCACCGAAAATTGGTCGTTTTTGAGAAAAATTAATTCACTCTGCTCATAAAGGTGTGTTCATATAGGAGATTTAGAATTTCCAAGATAGGGATATCCCTGTACTTAATGGCACTGGAAAACAAAGGAATATGGATTATCTTGGGACACCAGGGCCATCCAGAAAGATACCTGCAACACATTGTACGCTAGTAGTGGTAAGGAAAGTACAGTATCTTCTAACAATCCTGAATCCACGAACACAAAGCCGTCCACTTGCCCCAGGCAACATAAATCGAGAAAAATCTCTGTATAAAAACAGGCCCAAAATAGTACGGGTTCACCAAGCAAAGGCTTCCAGTCATATCTCAAGTAGCTGGAAAATTAAACAAGTATTCATGCTATGCCATACAAATACATACCGCTGGACACAGTACCTATGGATTTATGTGCATCGGAATGTTGAAACAGGCAATTAAAATTCTCGTCCTCATACAATAGATAGTTGATGAAAAGTTTGTAGAGAGGAGAGGTGTGCTGTGACATGACAGCAATACGACTGAGTTTTTTGTCATGGAAATTACGTTGCAGGGCTATTGTAAATATGCACGGTCGTCAGACAGAGCCTGATAGTACGTGGTGTCGTGGATTGCACCCATGGGGTATGGCTCCACAGTCGTTTTAGTATACTTAATCAACCCTCTGTTTAACTACATAATACTTAACACTCAGTTACCTAATCGCTTCAACCAGCAATCTGCTAAGTAACAGTGGTTTGGAGGATATATACAGTAATACTGTTCCCCGTATCCTTGGAAAACGTATTTCCTGAAACTAGCTAAATAAAGAACACTTAGATTGCCTCTTCACGGCTTGGTTGAAGAGCTCTAAAACTGTACATGCACATAAAAAACTAGATATACCATGCGAGAAATAATAAAGAGGCAGTAGTAGAGATTTCACTTGCAATCAACACCTCCTGTGGTATTATTTATCATTTGTCATTGGTGCATCAAAACCCAGCTTCCTGACTTAAGTTATGCTTTGCAGAAACTGCATTAACACTTTTCTGATCAACTCTTAGTATACTGTTACTGTTAATTTGTTGTTTGAATGTCAAAATATGGTGTGTGGGGAGGTACCAAACAAATCACTATGGTGAGAAACAAGTCCAAAAACATTACTACTAGGGCTTACTAATAGAGACCCTTGTTACATTGTAGAATTTTGCATTTATGTGTTTTCAAGCTACTGATAAAATAAGATGAACGTGTCTGTATATGTACAAAGTTACAACGGCCTGGCATGGTCAAG